GAAATTAGTGTTTCGTATTTAAAAAATGGCTTCATAAACATAAGCTCATTTTCAAAAAACTTACAGTTTGTAAATTTAATGTACGATTTTACGACAAGAATTTCATAAGCTCATTTTCACAAAACTTACAGTTTGTAAATTTAATGTACGACTTTACGACAAGAATTTCATAAGCGCATTTTCACAAAACTTACAGTTTGTAAATTTAATGTAGGATTTTACGACAAGAATTTCCTAACAACTGCAATGAGTCTAAACGAAACCGTCTCATAAAAAAAACGGACACTGATTTACTTCAATATACATAACCAGCCTTCTCCATATACACCTGTATTAATGGAAGAATATGATCAAAAAAGAAATGATGGTGAAAAATCTTTTTCTGCTTGTACCTGCTGCAATTGGAATACCAATAAAACAGAAAAAAGTTCCGCTTATATTGAAGCAACCAATAAAATATATGGCAAACAATTTAGATTTTTCCATGAAAAATGGACTCTTGGTTTCATCTACGTCATTCCAAAAAGAAATTAAAAAATAATTTCTTGATATCGATTATGACATTTGGCAAACAAAATTTCGTGATACCGGTTATGACATACGGAAAAAAACCGTAGAAAGATTTCGAAAACACGATCTATCATTTCAAAAAGAGGCACTGGAAAACACGATCTATCATCACTTCATTAGGAGGCACTGGAAAATATGATTTATCATCATTTTATAAGGAGGCACTGGAAAAATTATTCACACTACATGCAGCAGATTCACAAACCGTAGATCAAATGATAAGTAAAATGCATGATAAGTAATTTGATGAGCACTCGAGTGCCTAATTCGTGTAATCTCTACATCAAAATGTGTTACTTGACTAGGCTTAGCTATTCAACGTAATGATGAAGTTGAAGACAATAATAATCAGCTACTTTTAATGAGAAATGAAGATTATGCACCTCTATTGAGCAGGCTATCACACACATTGTATCAGTTACATGTCTTATGATGTTGTTAACATGATGATAGAATTAATGGTAAACTATGAGCTTAGAAATGTGCTTAGTGCTAATTCTGGTATTAAGCAAATGTCAATTTGCATTTAATTGTTTCAGAGCTTCAAGAAATTTTCAAATTAATTGGTCCTAACAGAACTAAAGCAGATGTTTAACTTGACAAGTTAAATATCTGCTTTAGTTATTATCATTTCAATTCTATTTCAAGCTTCGTCTGGCTTATGATGTGTTTGCAATTGTAGAACAAGCCTCTCAACAAATGTAATCTATTGATGTAGATGCACAAACATTTGTTTCAATAACAATGTAATTAAAAATACATATATGCATATAGACGGTCACTAACATGTCTTAAATTATTTTTTAGAATTTTGTGTTAATGAAGGAGTTGATAAATTTGGTTTGCAATTCACCATATGCTAGTTTACCTCACTAACGTTTAACTACATCTTGCTTTGATGATAATACTCTGAACAAACACAAATGGGTCATAATGGAATATTACCGAGCCAAGTATTGCAAAGCAGTAGACGTTATAGAAAGTCAATTAAAAAAACGGTTTTCAAAAAGTTCAATTAATAATCGCTTCAGAAAAGTTATTTTTGTCTACAGCAAATGTTGAGAGGACATAAAAGCTTTAGAAATTATAAAAGTTTTCTATAAAGATGATATAGTTTATGATAAATTAAAAGCAGAACTCTTTTTGTATAAATCTATTAAGAAATCTTATAATATTACATGTATATCGAACATTAACAAGGTAAGATCACTCATAACTATAATTCATATGTTTAAGGACACTAAAGGAGTCTCAACGGAACCGTAGGTGCCGTTTTTGGCATTAGAAATACCTATCTTCCAGACATTGTGCAAACTCCAAACATTTATATGTTTATACTTATAAAAAAATGCAATGATTGGAGCCTGGGAACAATAAAAACCCCTTAACTTGTGCCCCCTGCCCAAAAACGTGAGAGCAACCAGCTGATAAAATATTTTTTGTACTATTCTTAACTATACCAATATTAATCGATATATTTTAAGTTTCATAGTATAATCTCTAAGCGCTCAAAAATTATGTCAATATAAAATTTGTGACCCCCTTAAATTGAGGGGGATTAAAACTTTATATTGTCATAATTTTTAAACGCTAAAATATTTTATATGAAATTTAAAAATTATCGATTAATATTAGTCTAGTTAAGAATAGTACAAAAAATATTTTATCAACTTGTTGATTTCACGTATGGGTGGTATTACAATGATATTATACTTGCAATGCACATTAAGTCAAAACCATTATCAGCAGAACATAAATAATCACTTAAAATATTTATCATATTTTCTATTATCTGTTGCTAGGAATGCCTAAAACGCATACTAACAATTCATTTTACATAGTTACCTAACGAAATTTAAACACCACATTCATAACCTAAACTTGTATTGGTAATAACAGATTAAAAATTATTTAGTACACTTGAATGATTACACGCACAACACTAACTTTTACAGATGCTACCAAGTCCTATACAAACTTTTCTTTAAATTATTTTTTTACATAATGAAAAAAGAAATAAAAACTATCAATCTTACACACCCAAGAGTCATAAGGCGTAATAACTAAAAAATGAGGTTTTTCATTTTTATTTATTTTTTTTTTTTTACAATTTTTTTTGCCAATAAAAAAAATTTACAGTCGTAACTTAAAAAATATTTACGTGACCGGGACTAGAAGAAGACAAATTTAGTCTTATCATTAAGCCCCAGATATTTTTTTTTTTTTTTTAATTTTATTTAGGTGCCCCAAGAAGTCCTTACGGTCATACCACAAAGCACCGCAGATAAGCATTTAATTGGCTATTCATGCCTCATTCCTAACCGATGTCGCAAAGCTTGCCCAGATGTGGGGTTTGAACCACGGATCCTTTGTTTCTGAGGAAAGTACGCTACCACTGCGCCACGGCTGCTCAATATATCATTATCGGGCATTAATAAAAATGTTTAGAAAATGAAAAATTATTTACTATATTAAGGTACATCACTTATCTTAAAAAAAAAGTTAATGAACATTTGAATATCATCTTTGAATAGCGTCTTTAGATGGGTAATTACCTTTTGCCATTCAAAACAAAACATTTTCCAGAGTAATTTGCGTCATCCAGCGGCATAAAGATTTCACGATTGGTTTTTATTGCTTAGTGTATTCCGGTGCGCTTTTTTTTTTTTTTTGGCAGACTATTCTTGTTTTTTCAACGCTCTGTAGATATAAGGGTGTACTTGAACTGGTTAGTTATGACTTCAACGGTTATTTTTCACATTATTGACATTTGTTCACAAGATTGACAGAAGGGCATTTTGTTGACTTATTGAGTCATTGTTGTTGAAAACACTGTGAGGCAAACGAAGTCCCTTCTTTTTCATTATTTTAGCTCGTCTTCCTTTTACTATTTTTACGATTAATTGTTAAGGATACCAAAATATGGTAAACATTTGATCATTTTTGGTTTTAAAATGATTCACAGTAAACTTTTTCCCGAGATTTTCGTGTATTTGATAGAACTTTACAATCTGTTTGCGTACACACTAAAAAAAAAGTTAGAAATTTCTAATTTAGGGTAGGATATGTGGTACTTTAGGGTAGGATATACACCCTTTATAAGGTATAAGTTTCTACCTTTTAAGGTGGAAAATTATATTAAAAACAATGATTTTTCATTCAATTTTCTACCTTAGACGTATAGTTTTCTACCTTAAAAGGTAGAGTTTGTACCTTACTAAAGGTTCATCACATATCCTACCCTAAGGTTTCTACCTTTTTTTTAGTGTCTAGTATGTCTTGTTTTGACGACATTTTAGGCATATCTGAATTAGTTGATGCAAAGCAAAACATATGATAATTTTGTAAACATAAAGAGTATAGTTTCACATAGGCGTACTTTTCTTTTTTTGAAAAACATTCAAAAAATTTTAACAAAATATTGAAATAAATAGTATTCACAAAATACTGTAATAAGTCTTCAATTCACAAACTTCTATAAGTAGAACTCTAAAATACACTTAAAAGGTCTTAGGTCTTTTTTTAGAATAATGAAGATTTTTTTAGACTATTTGTAACAGGCTTAGAAAAAAACATTAGTTATCTTTACAAATTTTTATTAATTTTGTTACATAAAAATTTTTGTAAAAGCAGTTCATAAAAGTTCTTAAAGTTTATTGTTGTGCTTCATGTGTCGCTTCACTGAGCAAAGCCATTTTTGTTGCCACTTGTCAACCATAAGTATTAATGCGGTCCAATTTCTGCAATTTTTTTCAATAAGCGAGATGTTTGAATCATGAAAGCACATTTGAAGATGAATTAGATTATTTTTCATGTTAATATTTAAAGCATCAAGTCAGATAGCATAAATCTAGAAAAATCTTTGTGGAAGACCTAGAATTGCCACTCTAAAACTGACATGATACGCTGTTTGGCTATGAAAAAAATGTTGAATTCAAGCTCACAAATTCTTACTCAACTGCCTACTACAGTGCCCGTAAAAATCAAAAACAATTTGCTAAAGACTTTACTCTATGATCGTACCGTGCTACATTAAAGACACAATTTTCTTTAAAACTTATTTGTAGTTGCAAAATTTGAATACAAGTATTATACTTAAACATAAATTGTGTGTGTATAGATGTATATAATATGAATATATATATATATATATATATATATATATATATATATATATATATATATATATATATATATATATATATATATATATATATATATATATATATATATATATATATATATATATGTATATATATATATATATATATATATATATATATATATATATATATATATATATATATATATATATATATATATATATATATATATACATATATATATATATATATATATATATATATATATTGGTTATAAAAAATATTTTATGTCATTACACATGTTAGTAAGTTAAAACTATTTGTTAGGCAATCGAGAAGCTGCATTTTTTTCGTGCAATTACATCAGCTGGCGTTACAGATGAAATCATTCGTGCATGTAATATGGATAAGTATTCTGATGCTTGTCAATGCGAACATGTTCCTAATAATATAAACGAAAAATTAAAATGGTATGGATGCAACGATAACATTAAATTTGGTACAATGTTTGCGCACAGGTTTTTGGATGCTAAAGAAAAAGGAGCCGATGCAAGTGGACTTATGAACAAACAAAACAACCTTGCAGGTCAAATGGTAATGAATGTTTTTTCCTTTAACAATTTTCGGTGGGTAATTTTATAGCAGTACAAGTATGAATACTTTTTATAATCAGGCAGTGAAACAACTTACGCTCTTGATTTGCATTTGTCATTGTGTTTCTGGGGCGTGCAGCATGAAAACATGCCGTCATTCAATTTCACCATTTAATCAAGTCGGAAATTTTCTTCAAAAAAAATATCATTCTGCAATACATACATATTTTGATCAAAACAAAAATGAATTAGTACCTGTGAATCATGGCGTTTCAGAGCATACAAAATATGATCTTGTTTATTTAGAAACATCTTTAAACTACTGCATTAAAAATAACCATAAAGGAATTTTAGGTGTTGCTGGTAGGCAATGCAATAAGGCATCTTATGGCCCAGATGGATGTGACTCAATGTGTTGTGGAATGGGTTTTCATACCAAAAAGGTAATTTAATTATATATTAAATTTTAAAATAAATAACTTTATTTAAACAAATGTTGGCGCATGTTAAAATCAAGGAAAATATAGTGATAAAAAGTTTTCTCACTTTACATTTGACAAAAATTTCGGAAATGTTTTGAAGAATTGCTATGAAAAAAATTATCAAGATGAATCTTTCATATTATCTGAAGCAGCTAAAATCTTGCGGCGAGATATTCTCGCAAATCAAAGTTGACTTCAACGGTTTTTCACAATTTATATATGTGTTTTCAAAATTGACAGAAGGGCATTTGTTCCTACATCTTTAAAGTTATTTGTTGACACGGTTATACAGAGGAATAAAAGTAATGAATGTAATCAAGGTTTAGAACAAACAACTTTAACAATCAGTCAATTGATAATTTACAATAGTATGAAACATGTTCGTCAAAATCAACAAAAAAGATTCAAAAAAGACAAAAATCTCGAGAGTCCCATATTTATGTAGAATGATTCATACAAAATCTCGCAAAAAGACACTTGTTGATAAACTTAACCTTGGGATATTAATATCTTATAACTGGGTAATGGAGTTATCAACACAAATCGGTAATAGAGTTTTGAACTACTTCGCAGAAAATAAATTAGTTTGCCCACCGCACTTTATTTCTAATGTTTTCACAACTGCTGCTTTAGATAATATAGACCACAATCCAAGTTCCACTACAACTGAAGACTCTTTTCACGAAAAGGAATATCATTATTCCAGCATTGATAATTAGAGAAAACTGTATCAGATCTTGAAATTTCTACTGTAGAGTTTTCTGATAAAAAAAATAGTTGTCAAACCTTCCTGATTTATTCACTGAGATTTGACCAGTTTTGAATTTTAATGAAAAACCCGAAATGGAAAACTATTCCAACTTCTGTTTAAACAACTTCCTTCCTAGCTTCTATTAAAACAACTTACACCCAAAATTGACTCTAATTAATTTTTTTATTAAAGGTCAAACACCTGTCATTACTTTTGACTAGCCATTGTATTCCTTGGTTTAACTAATACATTGGAACTAGAAAGAATACTACGGAGAAAAATCTTTTTTCATTATGATAGGGCCACTTCATATCGAGTTAGCAGCGTTTAAAACAATTGGAGATTGGTTGAAAGATTTCAGGTGGTGTTCTGCTTTAGTTGAAGCAAAGATTTCATCAGCAGGTAAAGCTAAATCATACCTTAAGGCATCACATGTATTAAAAACCAAGAAGTGTGCATCAGGTTAATTTTAAAGTCTATTTTTTTTATTTTCAGGAAGGATGAGTTTGATTTTGTGATATACAAACAGTTATAGATATCATTGTTTGGATAAGTTTTAGTTATAAACGCTCAAAGTAAAAAAAGTAGTTTCGTAATAGGTAACTGCTGCTTTTCTTTATATTTTGATGAAACAAGCTTATAAAGACTACGTGATTTGAAATGAAAGGTGTGAAAAATTTTTTGATGATTGGAGAGAAGATTGTGAACATGTTTATCTTCAATTTAGAACTTGGTCAATAACGCTCAGATTTGAGCTGATTATATTAGCTTTTGTGCAATCAATAAGGTCTGGAAATTTTGATTTGTATAGGCAGTGCATTCAACAACTGTTGCCTTGGTTTTTTGAACTGAACTATATGATAAGATTCCCAAGAACTACTTCGCTGGATGGTTTGTTTACCTGAGTTAGCTCGATGCGTAAATGAATTTGAATCAAATTACCATACGTAAAAAATGATGAAGATGATTTTGTGGAAACAAGTTTCAAACATCATGAGCAAAATATAATTCTTAAAAATCTGTTTTTGGGTCTTAAGTTAAGAATTTAGTTGATGTAAATTCAAATATGGGTAAGCCATTTAAAGAAGAAAGCCTAAAACTTCTGGTGCTTGATACCCATGATATCAAAGACAAAGAAGTAGTAAACACTGTTAATTCAATTTAAAATTTAGGAGAAAAAATATTCAACCATATTATTTCAAATCAGAATAAAGGAGTGTAAGGAGTCTATGTTCAATCAAACCAGAATAAAGGAGTGTAAGGAGTCTATGTTCAATCAAACCAGAATAAAGGAGTGTAAGGAGTCTATGTTCAATCAAACCAGAATAAAGGAGTGTAAGGAGTCTATGTTCAATCAAACCAGAATAAAGGAGTGTAAGGAGTTCAATCCAAAAAACAAAATAAGATAATAATCTGCATAACCACTTTTTAGTTACGTCAATAAATCTGCATAATAAAATAAACCACTTTTTAGTTACGTCAATAAAAAAAGAAAGTTAAAAGACCAATCCCAAATATCTGTGCTCAAAAAGAACTGCCAATTGTTTTCGTAATCTTACATTTCCTGCCAAATCCGAGATGGCAACCTTAACGAGTTTTTTGCTCATGAAAACCATACTCATCAGCCGTCTCTTTCAAAAGACGGACTCTTACGCAGTGAAAATAAATTAGATCTTTTAACTTGTTATAATGATTTGCACAGCGCAATTAAAGATAAACCATAGTTGAATGTTTGATTATTGAAGGAGCTGTAGTTATAAATATTTTTTCACCCAAGAATTGCGAAATTTTCGAAGATTATTCAACTAAGGTATACCAGATATTCATTTTGGAGCAGTTACAAGCGTATGCAACAGTTGACATTATTTTGGACGTTCATACAGAGAACAGCCTTAAAGAATCAGCAAGAGTCAAAATTGTAGGAGATATTTGTCGTCGAGTGTTCTCCAAATCAAAGATTTCAATTAATTGTCAATTATTTTTTCGCGTCGATCAGAACAAAAACGAGTTATTTAAGCTCCTTTCACTCTAAGTATCATGTCTTCATACAAATAGATTGGTTGTTGTGATCTACGAGGACTCAGTGATATCAAACCAAAATATCAACAAATCCAACTTTTAGCCTTGCAAACATGAAGAAGGAAACACTTGTATATTTTTTCACTGAAAATGTCTTGGTCAAAAACAGAAATGTTTATCTCTATTTCACACAATAACAGGTTGCAATCAAGTTTCATTTTTTTGCTGGAAAAAGGAAAAAACTTTACTGGAAAACTTGGGGAACTTTTGAAGATCTTATTAACGTCTTGTAATCAATTTCCAATTGTCTCTCAAAGATATATAATATATCATCATTATTTTCCATTTAATAGAAAGATTTATTGTGCTATTATATGAACCTACAAGTTCTTACAGTAGTGTAAATAAATGTAGAAAAGACTTATTTTCAGACCCATACCCCCTCCACAAAACGCTTTGCGACTGCATATATCTAAATATTAGCTGTTTACTAGGCTTCTTATTGCTGGGCACTATCATTGTGTAGTATCCATCATTGCCTAATTATATGAGTGGGTTTGGATTATGGAAGACAATATTTACCAAATTGTTTAGACGACAATTCCGGAAGCTTCCGAAATTGAATTTGTACAATGGGGCTGCAAAATAGAGAAAGGTTGTAGAGGTCTTTGAAAACTTTTAAAAGCATTACTTCCATGTATCATTGCAAATGTGGTTGTGATTGTGATTGTGTGGTGGTGATGTTAACGGGTTAAATTTAAATCACATCACCATTTAAAAGATTTAAATTTAACGGGTTTTTCAAGTTTATTTGAAATTTTAAGGGGTTTTGATCTATAACATTGTGTTTTTAACTATTTATTAAATATTTAAACGAAATATTTTACTGAGTCTTAAAATGATTATTTCAATATAATGAACTTATAAAATTAAAATAAGATCTAAAATTGTATGTTTGGTTGAGCGTTGCTTTTCAAAACCAAACTGTTGTTTAAATAAGATTTTGTTACTCTTTAGATATTTATATAATTTATTTTAAATTACTCGCTCTAATAGTTTTGAAAAGATAAAAAGAATTGAGATGGATCTGTAGATATTTAGAGTAAATGAATCCCCGGTTTTTAATATTGGTACAACTTTTATTATTTTAAATTTATCTGGGACAGATCAAGTAATAATTGAAGACTTAAATACTTCAAAGACATCTGGAAAACATTTATAACTACAAGTTTCATCAATGGCTAGAGTCATTATTTATTTTTAGCAAGTTTTTTTGCAGTTTCTAATTCTGCATAGTTTAGTTCGTTGAAATTTAAATTGCTATCTTGATTTCTAATGTAGGTCGAAAAGAGTTATTTGAACATTGAATTTTGAAAGTTTTAAGAAGTACTGATGAAATTCTTGGAGGAGCCTGAACTCATCTAAATCTCAAAATTTTCTTTTACTTTCCTGTTATAACTAATATACATTGATTACCTCATCAAGAATATTTATTTTCGACATTTTTTTTTTTTTCTTTGAAAATCAAAATATTTCAGTTATTACATAAATTTACTATTTCAAATTCAAATTCAAAAAGACCTGAGCTGAGATACCAATATCAGTATTGGTACAAAACGAAACCAAAATAATCGATATTTTCAATATCAGTATACATGGCCGACGACACGGTTTTTAAAGTGAAGCGGCACAATTGTCAATTTCTGAAAATATTCCTTCATACCTAGGATACCCCTGCCCCCCAAACCCTATCCTCCCGATGTCGTCGGCTCTGGTATCGCGTAATCTCGACATTGATACTGTAAAGTATTGCACCAATACCAAACGATAAATTAAGATTTGATGCCAATAACACAATGTAACAACATTTTTGTTTATGTTAATTTTTTAATGTTTCTTACAAAATTTTGGTATGCTGATTTCAGTGGTACCATTGGTTTTGCTCTATCATCAAGATTTCCTGAGAAAAAGCATACAGTATATTTCGGAGTTTTCGTATATGTGTAATGCATTTATAACATATATTTACATATGCTGATTTTAACTCATTCTCTCCGCTGAGCCACTGACAGTGGCTCGTGGATTTTTTTTTTCTCCAGCAATCCACTGTCAGTGCCTTAGTATATTTTGCGTCTTTTTTTTCTTTAATCCCAATTTTAATATTACGTTTCCTGATTATAGTTTTTTAGGT